TGCAGACGCACCGCTCCTGAACGCACTGCCGGACCGCAACCGTGTGCAGTGAACGCTTTAATCCGTTAACATGAGCACGGAAAAAATACGCACCACATTTGCACTGCAAACAGAGTAATGTGAACCTGGCTTTATGTGTGTGCGCTGCGAGTGTGCATGAGCGCACGGTCTCCAGGAGAGCGCGCGAGCACTGAATGGTTAAACACTGGCAAGAATTAAAAAGTAATGCAATTTATAAACTTTACGATGACGATTTCATGACAATGTGACACTGCCTCGATTGTACAAGTGACAATTCCTGTGTCAACTAGAGACTGAGCCGGTGCTGCTGCATGTCATGCCAAACTTCTCACGGCAGGCGCGTCATTAGCTTGAGATTGTTTTTTTGAGATCGGCCTTTTTAGAGACCGCCGATCAATCATCCCAAAGCAATTATCGGCCGATAGTGATCGGTAGCGGATCAATCTGGGCACCCCTATTTTTAGCACAGAAATACTCCATCATACGTCCAAATTGTTTTATAAAATTTTGTCCATGCTTAACAGTGTAAACAACTCTGAATGCATGAAACGGCATTGTACCCCCCTTTAAGTCGCTGGGGTATATTTGTAGCAATCATGGACCGGATACGTAACAGATGCAGTGTTAACCCTAACATTTTATTTTAATATTTAACATTTGTAGATGGTCTTAAGTAAATGAGCTGTAAAAATTCTGAAAATCTTTTAGAGCTTATGATTTGTTTAAAAACATAAAATAATTACACATTAATGAATAAATCAGTATATATAAAATACATTTTCAAGTGTCATGTTTGATTTTTTTTCATGTAAGCTATGGCTTCTGACCTTTAAATCAAAACATACTCATTATTTTATGACATCAATTACTGCTTCATTTAATTCAGAAACAGTCTAAATGTTATTTTAGTAGGCTATTTTACTTTTAAATTAATTAGAAGTAGGCCAACAGCTCCCCCTACAGATTAAAACTCCTTACCGAACGGCCTTTAAGACCTGGGGGAGGCTGCCGCTGCTGCCACTGCACGTGCTATTACTGTTTACTCTATCACACCCCGAATGCTCATTCTGTACGTGCTTTCACAGATTAAATGCAGCACAATCTAATCATCATTCAGACAAAAATTTGCTTCAAGAATAAGCCACACTGCTGACGGGATCTAATCACTAGCACACCCTGAGCACATGTGAGTTAAGGTATTCCTTTTATTGGCAAGACATATCGGCATAATTTTTCATATCGGCCGATGCCGATATTTACATTTAAAGTCATTATTGGCCGATTCTGATATCAGTCCGATAATATTGTGCAACCCTAGTGTATTCCCAAAAAAACATGTTTGCAGAGCCCAAATTTGTGTCCTAAGCAGACGTAATATGTCAGGTTTCCTGCAACAAGCCATTTTTTGTCCACACTTAATGCGAAATTACTATGTGGCATAACAGTCACAGGCAATAAGTTGATGGTTACTACACTTTTATGTGGAGCAGGATTTTCAAATGATCAGATTTCATTCAGTAAATTATTGTGAGAATTAAATGATATATTAAAGGAATTAGAATATAATATTATAACCTATTATTCTAAATTTAACCCTTATGCTGTGCTGAAAATCCTGTACCTAATTTGCTGCGGCTGGCCTTTTAAAAATGTATCCAATATTTGGGAATAATATAGCACAAGAGGAAATCTATGCTATTTTTTTGATGAGCTATTTTTTTGTAGGCAGAACATTTTTGACTGAGAGCACCACAAGTGCAGCAAAAATAAAATAAAATAAATAAATAAAACACTGACACAGCATTTTCAGGAGATGACTGGAGCACACAACATGATGGTTAAAAAGAAGTCAACATTATTGTTAATAATATGATAAAAAAATACTGTGAACTTTTTATTGCAGCTAAATATTTTTGTTGTTGTTGTCATGTTGTTTGTTTTGCAGACCAATAAGAACCTTGATATGTCAATTAATGCGTCTAACAATTTCAACCTCACCATAACATGGTCTATTGGCTCAACAGGTAAAGTATTTCATGCTATTGTATTTCATGTAATATTTCAGAATAAAATGAAATCCCAAAAGAAAGAATTACTTTGTGAAATAGTCCTGGCTGAACAAAGTAAGTATAGGAACGCTATGTGAATCTGTTTGTCAGGGCATTCATAAAATGCTTTTGATTTCAATTAAGATAAACAGGCAGTGCTCTTGCACAGGCAAATGCCTAAGTGAAATTGTTTTTCATTTTGTTGCTGTTTGAATAAACCTTTAGGACAAGCAGATATGTGGAGAAGTGTTATAGATATATGCCCTATAGACGCAGATAAACCAGACTCCCAATGATCACTAGACAAGTGTGAGAGCATATTTATAGAAGTATTTAAGACTGAGCTCAAAAGAGTGGTTAATGGAAAAGTCACATTTTGCATTGTGATGAATTGCTAATAACTAAAATAAATCAGTTTTTCTTTCTGTCATACTTAATGGAACAGCCTCTGAATGGGTCATCTGGGAATCATCAGTATAGACTGACTGATGTTCATTTTCATTTGTGGTTCGAGATTTGCTGTTTTATGATAGACCTTGTATTCACTATTAACATTTAATCTGTTCAAATGTTTCGAGAAGCGGCAAGAAGCTTGAAGTTTTTAGGCTTTTTTTCATGATAGTTTCACTATTGATCCTGTTGGTATTCAAGTACAGTTCCTTACAATGGCTTTATTCAGATGCATTATTCAGATGTTTTATAGTTGCGGGGTTGATCAGAATGTTATGCCATATTTAATCTTGCAGAAGGTTTTGTATACGGGCGTTGTTGTTGGCTGACGTGCACTTTGCTGATGCTGTGTTTTGTGTCCCTGCAGCGGGTATGATCTCCGGGGAGGAATTCCCCATAGTGTCCAAGACTAACATCAAAGAATACAGAGACAGCTTCTCCTCTGAGACGTTCTCCTTCCTTGCAAATCCCAACATCACTTTCCATGTTTATGTCAGCAACTTTTCATGGCCAATCAAAATACAGGTAAGATCAGCTGCCAGGTGTACGTTTTATTTAGTCCAGTCCAAAACAGCCTTTTCTTATTTATCAAGTACAGGGGTTGAACAAAATAATGTGAACACCTGGGAAATAGGCAGTATTTCTTTATTAAAGTGTTTACCACTATTTGCCTTTAATACACCTTCTAACCTTCATCGAATAGATTCATACAACTTTCAAATAGTCTACAATTGAATGTTGTCTATCAGAACGTCTGCCAGTTGCTTCAGAGATGTTGAAGGAGGGAATCTGCTCTTCACTCTTCTCTCCAAATCTGCCCACAGTGGTTTGATAATGTTCAAGTCAGGTGATTTGTCTGGTCAGGACAGATGTTGAAGTTCATCTTGGTGCTTCAACTGTCCAGGTTTTATGATCATAACACCATCCTTTTTCTTTTAGCATTGCTGACCATGATTGGCTTTGTGAAGTTCTCTGTGGTCAGTTTTAGTGAAAACAAGGTCTTCAATGTGAATAATGAGGTTTGCTCTTACTTTGTTGCAGTAGTTTTGTGTTTCTTTGGACACAATCCTTTTACGGTCCCTATAATTCACTTGCGGATTTCGCCCCCTATTTTTTTTATTTTATTTTTTTTGCTGATGAAGTCTTGCCATGCTTTGTGTACATAGTCAAAATGGTAAATACTGTTGTTCTTAAAACTCCAAACTATCTGGCCCTTAAAGTTACAGAAGATCCTGTTAAGAGGGGTTACCCTGATTTGCCCTTTTTGGAAGTCTAACACATCACCCATTTAATCCATAACTTAAACTACACTCATATACAACCTGGACAATATAGACAATGAAAAGATAAATAAAAGATACTCACAATGTTTGTTTTTTTCACTGTTGTCTACACAGATAATCTGAATCCTTATAATAATAGGTGTTCACATTATTTTGTCCAACCCAAAACCTGAAATATTGATTTATATGCATACAGTACATATACAAATTTTATTTCATACAAAATGGCTTATTAGATATAAACGCATAAAAGGAAAAAAACAACAAGTTCAGTTTCAGCTCAATCCCTCAGTTTGAGATTTGAAACTGCTTTTCTTGGAGCTAATATGACATATTGTTACATGCCAAACTGTTGACGGATGAGCTTTTTATTTTGATATATTAAATATGGTAAATTATAAAGTTGTAAACTGGTTACATTTTTGTTGAGATTTTCTGACTTTGATCAAAACAGCATTATGATCATCAATACCTTCATCACAATAGACCACAACAACAAATTACTGTAAATATCATCCATGAAATTTGTTTTTGATTTCAAGTCAGGCTCTCTAAGCCCTCGTGTCTAAATAGGGCACTGAGAAAAAAACATTATGAAGTGTGTTATGCAAAAATAATATGTTTAATGATCCATGAGTCCGCTTTGTGCTCATCAATTTAGAAAAGCACTGACAAACTGTACAAAATATCTTCATTCTCTCAGTATTCTCATTTATGAACTAAAGACCATTTTTAAATACTTGTGCTTTTTAATGTCCATTGCATTCTGAGTTTAGATAATCCTGAGAAATCTGGTTTAACTCATATTTTTAAGGTCATGTTTGTTATTGTCTGTGTGAGAGAAAAAAAGGGGGGTTTGTGTCAGTGAACTGATGTGCCTTTTCATGGCAATGTCTGTGTTGAATATGCATATTTCTAGTTCTGGAATATTCTATTGCATTCGATTTCAGTATGAACGACATGAAATTGAAATACACTACCATTAAAAAGTTTAATGTCTTTACTTTATGTTTTGAAAGAAGTTTCTTAAGCTTACCTAGGCTTTATAAATGTGATCAAAAATACAGTAAAAAACACTAATATTGTGAAATATTATTACAATTAAAAATAACCATTTTCTATTTTAAACTATTTTAAAATGCAATTTATTCCTGTGATGGTAAAGCTGAATTTTCTACAGTCATTACTCCGGTCTTCAGTGTCCCATTATCCTTCAGAAATCATTCTAATATGCTTGATTTGCTGCTCAAGTAACATTTCTTATCATTTCACTCTGCTCTCTGGGGTTATCGCCCCAGTCTCAGGATGACATCAGCTTAGAGCTGAGGGCTGGTTAGGGGGCAGAGCATGAGGGGATCTGTCCATCCTACTGGAACAGACTTATATTTAGTTTGTCACTGTAATCCTGTACCTCACCCCTACGGTATTTTTCAGTCCACATTCACAGCCGGTTGCTCTACTCAACCCTTTTTATATTTATTTATATATTTATTTTTAAATGAAGAATTAGTACTTGCAAATGAGAAGAATTTCCAGCAAACTAGATTTTGTGCTGAAGTTTAGTATCCAGTTTTGTTTTGGTTTTAATCACCCATTAATCAAATTTAATGTTGTTCAGTGGAAGGGGATAGTGACATTACTGTCATTTATTGTCAATAATTGGATTATGCCAATAGCTGAACATATGATAGCATATGAAACCATAATGATGATTGTTGCTGTTTATATAATCATTATGCATGAATGTTTTTTGCCACCTCAGTGTCAATATCATCTTAAAGGAACAGCACACATGTAGTGTTTAATCTGCAAAACCTGGACCAGTTTTCAGTTTACTCTGGATAGTAACTACCTGTTTAGATAAGAAAAGACTGTGTTTGACCAACATCTTAAGTGACCACTTTTTGGACACAGTGTAGAGACATTGGGCTGTCTGTGTGCAATGCTGATTTGAGTCTACTTTGATACACTTGTCGTGCATCCTCGGTTCTCTTCCTTTATTCTTGTGAATACAAACAAGGATTATCTAAAAAAGATCAATAAATTAAAAATCAAAAAGTGTTTATAATACTCTAACAATAAGCAACAATACTTATTCTGACTGATATTATATCTGACTGGATAGATTTCCATGTTGAATGGCCATTTTGTCGCAGCCATTCTGGACCGAGGAGTGGAGGGTGATTTGATTTTCTCTACACACACGTCACTTATTTTCCCCAGTCCTGTGGACATCATTAAATAGAATGCCTTTGGTAATCTCATTTCTAACAGACAGTTTGCGGTCTACGTCAGCCTCTGTTCATTTCAAACATCTGTGCGAGTCTCTTTGGATAAAGGGAAAATTGAAACGGTTAGCCAGAAACACAGTGCCATATCTGTTGATAGCTTTATCACAGCAGATTGGCTTTCATGGGGTTGAAAGAGGATAAGTAAAGCTAAGTGCTCAGTGCTCCTGAATACGAGAAGGCCATGACGGCAGAGATTGCTTCATATGCTGTGTCTATTCTCACTCGTTCTCTCATTCATATTACCTGTGCAGTGAATGCTCCATGGTTCCTTTTGTGGAGAAGGAATGGGAAGAAAAAGAGCAAAACTGGCTCTGATGTGAATACTATGAGGGAAAAAAATAATATATCCCCTGAAAAAAAGTTTTTTTCAGCAGTAATGTCAATTCAGTATAAACCACAGATGCAAGGCCTTAGATCACCAAAACTTGACATTGTCGCTTGATTTGATGCCAGATGTATATTATGAGTATGTATGATTTAGCATTATGTCATACAAGCATACAATTAGTTTATTCCACCTCAGTTAATATAGGTGAGCCACATTTCTGAATGTAACTGATTATAAATATGAAGCTCATTTGAATATTGGAGGTATGCATAATATTCAACTAATATCTTACTGCAGTCATTAGGTTCTGTCATGAATATGTTAATGTACCTTCTGCAGATATTCATGCTCTCTCTCTCTCTCTCTCTCTCTCTCTCTTTCTGCATGTTGCTCTGCCATCTCTTTGTCCCACACATCCAGTTCAAGAAGTCAGATATAATACTAATATACTAGGGCTGTGCGATATTGAAGAAGAATGCGATATGCGATACCTTGTTAAAAAATGCGATATTCGATATGCGATACGATATTGCTTAAAGTGTGCATATACTAGGGCTGTGCGATATTGAAGAAGAATGCGATATGCGATACCTTGTTAAAAATGCGATATTCGATATGCGATAGGACATTGCGATATGCATATTGCGATATTTCGATAATTTCGATATATCGTGCAGCCCTATCATATACCCTTTCTAACTCTTTTAATATTCTTGGGAAAGGTAGAGGAGTATCTATTTCTACCCTTTCCCATGCACTCAACCACAAAGCAAACTTGTTTTTTTCCCCCTTTTGCAACAGCATGTTGTTCACTGACCATTGCTGAGGTTAGCAGTGTCCTCTCCTCACCCCAGCTCTTGATATTCTCCTTAGAGAATTGTTGTATTTGCCTTTAACAGCTCCCTGTGCTTTTATGTGCAGGCCTCACAGACTCTCTGATTCACCCTGATTCTGTTTTGCCTCAGAATTCTTGGTCCTCAGAGGTGGTATTGAACTTTAAAAAGCACATGCACTCAATAATCACTTAGCCTCTGATCTTTGTACAATTATGGTGTAGTGGTGGACACTTTTACACTAACACTAAAATGCTAATTCTCATGAGCTCTCATGGTCTCTGTGCTTCTGAACTACAGTTTCAACCTATTTCTAATGTTCCCCTTTACACTTTACGTTAGTACTTATAATATAGTACTAAGTTAGTACTTATATACTGTAAGATTAGGTGTAACGGTGTCTGAAAAGAGTTTGTGCAGAATTTGACATTTTTACAGTTTCATTCTTCTTTCTACAGAAAATTACAAAATTAATTTGATAAATTTTTATCTATTGACAGCCATAATTTAGTTTCTCTTCAGGTTTATACATTTAACATTAACAGTGGGTAGAGCTGAATGCAGTGTCAATTAAAAGAAGAAAGAAAGAAAAAAGCCAGATTTTAATTAATTTATTTTTGTAACATTTTTTTTTGGAATGGGGTCCATCACTTTTTGGCATCAGAAAGTTTGAAAAACCCTTGCTTAGTACTTGAGTAGTAAAATGTTTGATAGATCAACCATAGTTTCATCAGTATTCCATATGTTTGGTCTCTACTTATTATTTTTTATTTTCATTTTTATTTCATTT